TGTTTTGTAGCTGTATGTGCGTGTGTGGTGTCACGCTGTTTGTTCCACTTCTCTGAACGAATCACGACACCTGAGCTAATTTCTTCCTTCTGTTTGGATCGTTGCAGCGTGGACAGAGAGCACGCCCCGGGTTTGGCCACTCATGGCGGCTGTGCGGTACCTGCTGGTGTTTCAGTGTCCCTTCATTAGTCTTTCCACCCCGCAAACCTCCCTAATGAACACAGCAGAGGCTGAAGCCTTATCCAGACACCGACTAACCACATGCGCTGGGTTCTACTCAGACGGTCGTCTTATGACAAGAGCCTTTTTCCTGTGTGCTGTGAGGGAGGAGGGAGACAACAGTGCAGTTAACCATTACTGAAAAGAAAAGAAAAAAAAATCACATGGTGAGTACCATGACAGGAGCAGATATGGTCAGGCTGTGCTGTGACAGCGCCTGCAGGTAGGCAGGAATGATTGAAGGAAGGAAGGACAATGAAAATAAAGTGAGAATGGGATGGCAGAAAGGAAGAAACAGTGATGGCAGGAAAGAAAGAAAGAAAGAAAGAAAGAAAGAAAGAAAGAAAGAAAACTAAAATGTGATTGCAGAAAGACAATGAAAAGAAGGAGAAGAAAATAAAGTGAGAGAGGAAGGAACTGATGGTAGAAAGAAGGAAAAAGGAATAAGCAAATGTGACCCTGGACCACAAACCAGTCTTAAGTCGCTGGGGTATATTTGTAGCAATAGCCAAAAATACATTGTATGTGTTAGAATTATTGAATTGGTTTTGTGGTCCAGGGTCACAAATAAGAAAAGAAGCAAGAAAAGGATGTTTCCACGTGGGAAGGAAGTCTTGATGGAGTGATGGTAGAAAGACAGAGGAAAGGAAGGAAGGAAAGAAGGATGCAAGCAAGGAAGGAAGAAAGACATAGGAAGGGGAAAAGGAAGGAAGGAAGGAAGAAAACAAACAAAGCAGCAGATGAAGAGAAAACAGGAGAGGGCATTGGTGCTGCTTAGCTGGAAGAGACTGAAGACAGACAGGAGGAGGAGAAGGAGAACGACAGCGGTAAACGGAGTGACACAGAAAGATTGAGCGTTAGAGGAAGAGAGAGAACAGCAGAGAAATGCATATGCTGCTGGAGGGGAGTTAAAAGGTTTGGCAGGGGAGAGGTGGGGAAAGATTAGCTCGACTGACAACTCCATTAGAGACTTAACCCCGGCTTTGATCATCGCCTGAGCCCCTCTTCAGCCGGCCCGATGCAGGAGCCCAAACACAGCAAAGCTGACAACCTCCTGAACGCAGGTCTGCCTGTGATCAAAGCCCTGTCTCTTACAGCTCAAGCTGCCTCGCTCTCTCGCTGTTGTCTTGTGGGAGTGGCAGCAGACGAGCGCTCAGACTGAGAGAGAGATCTCACAATGTGTGATTTACCGAGGTCACACTGTGTGAAAAAAAGACGCTATTTGCTTTTGCATGTTTTGATTGTGAGAGGTTCTGTGAGAGGAAGAGGTTGTTTTCCTTTCTTAAGATGTTCTCTTACATTTGTCACAGCCCTTTCTCCTGCACGGCTCTGATAAAAACATAAACTCTACTTAACAAAAACACAGCCAACAAAAGGCACATGCTGTTAGACTGGCATTTCAGCTGCTCACTTTCGTACCAATGTGTTCCTGTAAAACATATTGTATTCATGCAAATTAATTAATGTGAACTGAATATGTCACTTAAATTCACATGTATGACACAGTCCGTGATGCATGCCATTATCTGTATTACACAACAACCACAGGAAAGCGTAGTGTGCAACAGTTTTTCTTGCTTTTAAGTAGCTACATACACGCATATATATATATATATATATATATATATATATATA